CCTGCGCCTGCCAGCCCACCAAAACCTCCAACAACACAGGGGGATGCTCAGAGCCCCCCACAAGCCAGCGCCCGAGGTGCCAGCCCCCACCTGTGACCACGGGGCTCAAGGTGGCAGTGAGAACGTGCCAGGGTGGCTGGGCTGAGCTGGCCTGGTGCTGCTGGTGTGCTTGCAGCAAACCGAGGATTTTTGCAGCTCAGCTCGCAGAGTTGCACTGAACGAGTACCAAGACACGCTGCGGGGTGGCCATCCCCTCCTGCTGTGCTGCGGTCACCCCAGCACCATGCAGCAGGGTTTTGGTGGGGTCAGGTGTGCTCTACCCTGTGTTTTTTTTTTGGGGGTAGGTTGAGACCATCAGGCTCCCACAGCCACAATGGAAGCCTTGAAAAAAAAAAACTTCCTGGGAAGAGACATCGGTGTGCGTGCTCTGCAGACGTAGGCACAAACCCCCACGTGCCTCGCCAGGCCCCCCCATGTCCCCACGGAGCACCACGGCCACCCAGCACTACCTCGTGCTGTGCCTTTTGGAGCCAGCCCCGAGACAGAGAAGAAAGCAGAGGGAGCAGAGCAGGGATGGAAACAGCAGACAATGAAACCGCAGCGACCCTGAGCTCCCCCAGCAGCTCGGTGTCCGTGCTTGTGTCTTCCATAAACGTTTTGGGATGACCGTGCCAAGCCTGGTGTCACCGCATCCCCTGAGGGACCCCCGGCGCTGGCAGCCCCATCCCGCTGCCATTCACAGCATCCTGTTGAAACCCTAGCACCAGGACTGGAGATAACGCCGAAACTCCTCCTGGGGATAAACAAGGGGCCAGATTCTGCTGTTGGCATCCGGCGGCTGACACCTGAGATGATGACCCGAAACCGAGCACCTCCCCAAGAGCCGGCCGAGGCCACAAAGCAGCCCCTGTGCAGGGACGCAGGCGGCGGCGGCACCGGGCCAGCTCCGTCCTTTTTCACCCGGGGATGCGCTAATCCCACTGAAAGCCAAGGTGGCTTTAGGAAACGGGATCCCCTCCGAGGGACACATCGAAGATGCACAGAAATGGGCAACAAATAAAAGACTGACTCCCTCCCCGTTCCAGCCAGGCAGACAAAGGCAAACCTGGGCACACACGAAAGGCAACGCTTGCCCCAAGCCCTGCGGGGCCACCAGCGCTGGGAGGAGCGACCCCACACACAGCCCTGGTGGGGACACGGTGCTGGGGGAGCAGCCCAGCCCCAGGAAGCTGTGGTGTGGAGCTACCTGTGCAGTGTCTGTGCCGTGCAGCCCCAAACTGCGGGGACCCCAGCATCGCTTTTTTCCCCGCTGTCCCTAGGAGGTGACCGGGATTTATCGGGGCGAGTGGCAGCTGTCCCCAGCACCGGGCACTGAGGCTGCCTCCCGTGCCAGCCCGGGCAGCATCGCTCTCCAGAGGCTCTGCCAGGGCCAACTTTACAAGGGAAGCTTTTTTTTTTTTTTTTTTTTTTCCAGCTGAAACAAAGACGAAGGCTCGAGCAAGCGGGAGCACGGATGAGAAAACAGGCGGCGGGGTGGGGGGGGGGGGGGAGAGGTGGAAGAAAAAAAAAAAAAAAAAAGAGAGAGAAAAAAACACAACAACCCACAGATCCTGAGACAGGAGAGAAAGGAAAAAAAGAAACCGGAGGCTGCAGAGGTAGACGCGGAGATGGGAGGGAAGAGAAGGCGGCCGGGAGCGGGGCGGCCAGCGCCTGGGTGTCACCTATGGCACATCCTCGGGTGCCACCGGCCGCTGCCATGGCCCCTGGAAGGCTGCGGGGGGGTCCCGAGCCCCACAGGGAGCTCATGGTGGGGACAGGGAGAAGGGGGCGCAGGGAGGAAGAAGCCGGGATGCGGGGGGCTGGCGGTGTCACCGCGCACCGTGTCGCCGACAAGGGAGCGACCCCTGGGGATGGGGGGCACGCCCGAGCCCCCAGGGCCCTGCCCGGTCCCCCCCCCCCCCCGCTCGCCGCCGGGCTCCGGGCGCCCCCAGCCCCCCCCAACCGCGTCCCACCGGGACCCCGAGACGTCGCTGTCACCCGGCGGTGTCCCGGGAGCTCCGCTTGTGCCTCCGGGCTGGAGACCCGGAGCCGTTTCTCCCCGACCCCCCCCCCCCCAGCACCGCCAAGGCCGGGGAAGAAGCCGCAGACCCCCCCGGGATGCTGCGGGGAAGGCGGCCGCAGGGAGACGGGGACCGGGGGGGGCACCCCACAGACCCCCGAGCAGGCAGCGCTCAACCCGGTGGCGGGGCCGAGCCTAGGGGAAGGGGTGTGTGTGTGGGGGGGGGCTGACCCCCGATCCCGGCCTCTGGGGACCCCCAGCAGCCCCCCCCCGGCGGCTGAGCGCAGCGCGGACCTGCCCGGGGCTTCTTTGGGGGCTCCCCCCGGGCACGGGCAGGAGCCGCTCCCGCTCCCCTCCTTCATCCCGCACCCCCCCGGGCCGAACCGAGCCGGGCTGGGCCGCACCCTCAGAGCCTCCCCCCCCCCTCCCCAGCTCCAGCTGCCGCAGAGGAGCCCCCACCGGTCCCGGTGCCGGTGCCGGTCCCGGCCCTACCTGCGCGGCGCCTCCGCCGGCCCCCGTCTGCCGCCGCCGCCACCGAGCCGCGCTGCCGCGGGGGTGGGCGGGGAGGGGAGGGGACGAGGAAAAAGGGGGGGGGGGGGGAGGACGAGCGCCCCCTCCCCGCCCCCGGCCCGGCCCCGCGCCCCCCGGCCCGCCCCGCTCCGGGCACCCCCCCGCTGCTCCCGCACCCACGGGAGACCCCACGGGGCGCCCACGCGTGTCCCCCCCCCCCTCTCGCCCCGGCCACTTCGTCTTCTCCCTGAGGATCTGGGCTGGGTATTTCTAGGGGAGGGGGCTCAGGGGGGTCCGAGGCTTCCCCTTTGCTCGTGTTGGTCCCAAAAAGAGCGTGGAGGGGGCGGCTGGGCTCGGAGAGGGGCTTCGGTCGCTTGCCAACAGCCGGGGGTAAATGTGGGGTGAAAGCCCAAGGGGCTCAGCCTGAGCATCCCCCCCCTCCAAGCCTGGGGTCCCAGCGCTAACGAAGCTGTTAATGAACGAGCAGGCCAGAGGCACCTGTTAGCACGAAGGGCCCGGCTTGGCATCACCGAAATATGCCCACTCCTGAAGGCAAACGGCGTTTTCGTGCCACGACGGGTGTTTAACGCAGGCAGATCCTTCCCACCCTGCACACCCCGAGCGCAGCCTCTCGAAGGAAGAAGCACCAGATTAGCTGGGTTTCCCAGAAGAAAAGCCCGAAAAGGGGCAACCAGCTGGGCACAGAGGGGACTCGGCCGCTGTGCTGCACGGCTCCTTACAAAGGGCTCAGCTCTGCCCCTATGAAGAGGGATTTTCAGGCTGATGCGGCAACAAAGGCACTTAAGCTGGCCAGGTAAGAGGCTTTCGAGGTTAGCTGCCCATTCCCATAGCACAGGCTTTTTTTTTTTTTTTTTTTTTTTTTTTCTCCCCTCTTTTTTAAGGGGAATTATTTTTTTGTAATCCGTGTTGCTGCCGGCTGGGCGCTGGAGCAGAAGTAAGCAGGTAACCGGTGCTTTCATCCCCGAGCCGGCTTCCCACCACGGCCGGGCTCCAGACGCAGGCTGGGAACACCAAAGGCAGCCGGAGTGGCACGAGGCTCACGGCAGCTGGGAATTGCTTTTTTTTTTCTTTCTTTCTTTCTTTTTTTGGGCAAGCGCTGGCAGCAGGGAGCTCCCTGGGGATTAGCAGCTTGCACCCCAAACGCCTGCTGCATGGGCGAGTTCCCTGCCGAAGGCTGGAGCCGTCTGGCCCCGATGGGGACACTTGAAGCCAAGTGCAGCAGGGTGGCAACTCCATCCTTTCGCCCCCACTGGAAGCACCCCTGGGTGGCTCGGGGTGCTGGCACCCAACAGGACACGGCGCTGGGGGGCTGCAGGAGGGTGCTGACAAGATTTGGAGCCCCAATTCGTGTGCTTGGCAGCCCCCCGCATCCAGCAGTCTCCCCTTGCCTGGGGGAGATGAGGGGGACGCAACTTGGCCCCCAGCAGGGCTCATCCTCCTCCTACAGCCCGTGGAAGGTCCCCGGGCAGAGGGGAGGTGAGGGAGAATTCCTCTTCCTCTCTCCTCCTCCCTGCTTGGCCGGCATCCGCTGCTGCACCGAGATTAAAACAATCCCACCGTTATTTGTTTCATATTTAATAACCAATTGAGCAGCAGATCTCCCAGCAAGCCCCTGCTATCAATCAAACCCGCACAAAGTCCCCCTCCGAGCCCCTGTTTCCAAGAAGAAAGAAAACAAAATTGGACTAATTTATTATTCATTTGTTCATTAAGCCCGCATTAACCAGATATATTATCAAGGAAAACAGGATTTTGATCGGCCAACTCTCTGCTCATGAATATCCATCAGGAGTGGGGCAGTGCGGGGCCGGGCCGGCACCAGTTCCTCCGTGGGGATCATCCCTTGCTCCCAGGTGGGGACGAGCAGGGCCCAGATGCTGTCCAAGCAGGAGGGCAAAACGCTGGGATGCTGAGCAACTTGCCCAGCTCTAAGCCGCCAGTGAGGCACAGTGGTGGCAAGTGCCCACGTGGCCACCAGGAGCCACGTCCTGGCCCCACGGGTGCCAGCCTCGAGGATCGGGCACCCGTGGTGCCAGCGGCGCAGGCAGCACACCCAGCCGGACCTGGATCTGCACATATGGTGCGGCTGCACCAAAAAATAGGTTGGTTTAAAAAATGCATCACTTTGAAGTTATGTAAATGCAAAGCAGCGGCAAGCAGAGCACGCTGGCAAAAAGGTTCCCTCTTTTTTTTTTTTCCCTTTTTTTTTTTTTTTTTTTTCCTCCTCTCTCTCTCCTCTTTGCCAGCTTCCTCCGGTTAAAATTGGGTTGCAATTCATTAATAAAGGAACAGTTGTATTGAATAAGCTCCCATGCTTAAATCAGGACAGAGAGGCGTAATTAACCCAGCTCCGGTCTGATGTGATGGGAGAGGAAAATGCGCCTCTGTTTTGGGCCCTTCTCTTAAAAGCCCGGCGCGTTCTCCCGGCCTCCTGGGAACTGAATCGAGCTTCTTATTTAAAAATGAAGCTTGCAGCCTGGCGGAGCAGGTTCATGTATATATATAAAAGCTGTCACGATGATATTTTATTCATACCCCTCTCCCCTTCCCTCTGCTTGGAAAATCCAGGAGCAGCCAGCAGGCAGCATGGAGAGAGAGAAAGCAAGAATCCCCTTTTAAAAATAAATTACACATGCAAGTCACATTAGTTGGAGCCACAGGATGAGCCAGATTCGCAAGGCGGGCAGGCGAGCGGCACCGCTGGCGCTCAGCATTTGTGCCAGCCCCAACTGGGCTCTGCAGTCTCCTCTCGTCCCCTGCTTGAGGCCAGGGGACGCGGCAGCTGGGGTGGCCACCACGTCCCCATCCCCTCCCCGAGGATTACAACGGAGCAGGACCGGAGCTGCGTTGAGCTGAGACCTCCCTGGGAGACATCCGCTGGTGCAGGGGGAATAAACAGCCAGGAGGGTCCCTGGGTGTGGGGTGGGGAGGGGGCTGCCCCTTCGTCGCTGCTTTTGGGGGTGGCTTTGCCACCTGTCCCTGCTGCGGCTCTTCTTGGCGAGCGCGATGCCGTCCAGCCACCGCCGGGATGCTCAGCATCGGCGCGACGCTGTGCATGTTGATGCGGCATCCCTGCGGCTCGCCGGAGCCCTGCCCGTCTGTCTGTGCCCCCCTTCCTCTACCGCCGCTTCCTCACCTGTTTTTAAAACCTGAAAGGCAAAATTAAAAGGCAAAGCGCGTTTTGGTCGCGGCAGGGAAAAGCTGCCCACGAGGACTGTGCCGCTCCCCGGGCAGGCTCTGACCCCTTGGCTGCATCCTGCCCCTCGCTGCCTTTCCACATACTCCCCGAAGCGGTGTTTAGCTCATTATTTACTTAATTAACCTATCAGAATAATGAACGTGGCTCTGTTTGACCCCAAGATCAGGATGGGACCGTCCACAGCTGCAGCAGCATCACCACTGCCCCGTGGCGGAGCCGTGATGGCCCTGGTGGCACTGGGAGCAGCACGGGGCTGAGCGCCTGGGGGACGTGGCACACCCGTGCCACGCAGGAGCACCCACCTGATGGGGATGTGCACCCCTGGACGGGGATGAGCAGGAGCTGCCCTGCACAGAGAACACTCCAGGCGTGAATTACAAGGAGAAAACCTTCCAGAAATTCACTCTCCTTTTTAATTCCCCGTGATCATTGAGCATCCCAGCGTGCCCTACACCTTCAAGCGCACACAGTGCTGGCCAGCCACCTCCTGCCTGTCCTTTGTCACCCCACATCACCACCCCAGCCACCGGGGACCTCCTTGGACACCTTCCCCGTGCTGCCCCTACATCCTGCACCCCTTCCCCACAGGGATTCAGCGGCTGCAAAAAAAAAAAAAAAAGGTTGTTTGTTTCTTTTGGGGGAAGACTGTTCTCCATGCGCTCCTTGTATTTAGTGATTATTATGAGTTGTTTTGCTGTCAGTGAAAGCCTGCAATTATGTGCTTGCTCTCTTTTTTCCTGCCTGTCACCGCTTTTCCCCATAAATGCCTTGCCCACCATTTCAGCGCTTTGCACTGCGACGTGGGGCTGCACCAGCTTGGTGCTGGTCTGGCGCACGCTAAGCAATGACCCAGCTTTTTCCTCAACAAAAAGGCTACAAAAGTGGGAGAATCAAATACATTTATGATCAAGAAAGAAAAATCCTAAAAACTTCCATCTGAAAAGGCAGGTTAACGTGGTGACCTTGCTGGGGCCAGCTCCACAAAGCTGGCTTTCACCTTTGGTCCGTGAGCACTTCTGTGGTGGGAAAAAAAAAAACAAACAAAAAATATTGTTTTCATTAAAATCCTTGGGCTAAATCTCCCCATTTTGAGATGAGCTGCCATTTGGTCAAAAAAAAAAATATAAAAAAAAAAGGCAGCTGATTGCTAAAACCACACTTAACGCATTGCCTCTGCCTAGGACTTTGTGCCACCCATGTGGGATGTCCCCAGACAGAGCTGGTGTCCCTGCAGGACGTGGGGACAACGCAGATGGAGCAGCCCTGGCTCTGCCAGACCTCGCTTTCCTCCTCTCCCTGGAGAGCCCCCCCGCATTCAGAGCCTGGCTGCAGCCCCCCTCCCCGTCTCTGGCTGCTCATCCAGCGCGGCTAATTTTAACCAGAGCTGCCCTTCCCCTGACATCCGTCTCCCTGTGGCATTGAAATTAAACGTAGGCTGTAATTTGGCATTTGAGAAGCGAAAGGGATGGTGGCCCTAAGGGAAAAGCTAACAGCTTGGCTGTTTGTGTTAAATAGCTGTCTGCAAGCTTCAAACCGCGGCGTGCACGGGAGCCGGCCGCCGGGCGGGCTGCCAGGAGCTGTGCTGCTTCCCCAGCCCGCCTGCCTCGCAGCAGGGTGCTGGGCAGGGGTCCGGACCCTGCATCTGCTTTTCTGCACCTTCCACAGCTTCTGCTCCCAGCCCTGGAGAGGGCTGGCTGTGGGGATGGAGCTTCAAGGCAGGAGCCCCCGTGGGGAGCTCCGAAACCCAGTACGGGGCAGCGCAGCCCGGCAGGGATGGCCCCATTGCACCTTGCATGGTGCACAGGGGTAGCCCAGCAGGTACACCTCTGGTCCCTGTTCACTTTGTGGGGACAGCCCTACAGGGTCATCCCCCATCGCACATCACCCACGTATTTTGTGCTGGCTGGGGAGGGACAAGCCTGGGGACACCGCACGCAGGCACCCTGGGTGGCACCGGCCCTCGTGCCAAGCCCGGGCCAGCAGCAGGTGGCCGTGAAGGCTGAGCTGCAGCACAAAAACAAAGCCAGGGCAGGGACAAGCTGCCACCAAGGGATCAGCTTCCACCATCCCATACAGGTCCCCGCTCCCGACACCAGCAGCCCCACGTGCAAATAATGCTGCTTGCGACAGGAGGCAGGAGCTTGGCAGCTCCAGCCCCGGCTCTCCCCTCAATAAAACTTTTGCTTTGGTCAAACAAAATGTTTTCCTTGGCCTGCAACAAAAAGATAATCCTAATTTCAATCTTTTTTTTAATCAAATAGATGTTGTTAATAAAAGGCAGACTTCGAAATAGTCCTTTCCATGCCTGCTTTGGGGCTAGTTTGCTTTAAACCAGTGAGATTTGCCAAGCCAGTGTGAATTTGCCTGGGTTTGCACTCCTCCCAGCCCTTTGTACCACTCGGCTCCATCCTCCCCTTTGTTTAGCATTTTAATTATTTTAATTACCTTGTTTGCCAGCTTATCGCGGCGCTCAAACCCATCTGCGTGCGCACACGCAGACACCCAGACTTTTATCTGCAGCCCTCTGCCAGTGCTATTTGCATTTTTTGCTCCGGCGTTTGGTGGAGGAAAGGAGAAATTAGCATTTTTTCCCCTCACCAACAATACCTCGTCTTGCAGGGTCGCTTTATTCTTCCCAGAAGAATGGGGCTAATTTATCTTTCTCCCCCCCCCCCCCCCCCATATCCATTTCAAATGAGGGATTAGAAAATAAACACAAAGCCCGGCCTGGGGGATGCTGCGCCCTGCCGTGGGGTTTTCCCTCCAGGGGATGCCGGAGGAGAGCGTGGTCCCAGCACCGGGAGCACCCAGCAGGGCTCCACGCACGAGGTGTCTTTGGAAACATCCTCATCAGCTCCGCTCCACACGCAGCCCCGTGCCCTGCTTTCTCTCGCTGCGGCAAAATCCAAATGCAATAAAATAATAAAATAACAGGTATGGCTCGGGGAGCGGCTGGAAGCAGCACCGGGAGGTCTGTGCCTCTTGGTGGCTTTGGCTCTGAGCTCTGTTGGCTGCAGGAAGCCTCCGGCTCTTGGTGTTCCCTCATCCTCAAGGACAGCCAGGTGATGGTGCCACCTGCTGAAAAGCCACCTTGGCCCAGTAAAGCCCCGAGGACAAATATCCGGGTGCCCAAGGCACTGATGCCACTGACATCGTGGCACTTGGAGCTTGCCATCTGGGCTCAGTCACCCAGAGGGCATGGGGGTGGAATGACAGGGTGGGACGGAGCGCCCCAGGGACAGGACCCTTGTCCCCATGTCCCCAGGAACATGAGTGTCCCCCTGCCAGCCCTCCCTGCTCGACACCATCACCTCCACCTGGGCACGCTGTCACACACATGGCACACGTCAACGGGTGTGCTCCTGATCCATGCCATTGCGGGGAGCATTGGGAATTCAATTCCAGATAAGGACAAATCCCCCCAAAGCCACCTTTTAATGAGCCCAACCTGGGCTTCTCCTGCTGCTAGTGAAATCCTTTAACACCCAGATAAGGCAAGTTTCATCATCTAAGCCACCTAGACCCACTAAATGGACACGGAGGTGTCCATCAGGCAGGCAGGGAAGTGCTGCCTCTCCCAGGTACAGCCCGCTCCTCCGAGCTGTGGGCAGCAAGAGCTGGAAGAGGAAGGAGTTGGAAATAAAACCCCTTTTAAAGGAGCATTGACACAGGGACACCATCCCACCAAACAGAGAGCAGGAGCGTTCCTCCCTGGGCGCAAAGCCAGCTTGTCCTCAGCTGGCACTGGGAATGCTACGAGAGCTCCGGGGGCAACAGGGCTCCGAGCCCCAAAATGGGAGCACTCAAAGTGCTGGGACCAACAGGGACAAGAAGTACAACATCCCCATGTTCCCCAGGGCTGACTATCCACCAGGAGTAACCTTTGCCAGATCCTAAGGAGCACAAAACCCCAGCCAAGCCCTACATCGCCATTTCCATCCCTTCCACGCCCTCCTCTTCCTCCCTGCACCCCATATTCAGCCTCAGCAGGGAGGCTGGGGAAGCCGTGGTCCCTGCCACCCCCCCCGTGCCAGGCTGGTGCTCGCTGGGCACCCCGCACGCGGCAGCCCCGCGCACCAGGAGCGGGATGGATGATGTAGCACCCTGCCAGAACGGAGGAAACCAGGCAAAGCCTCTCCATCCATCAGGGCCCCCACTTTCTGCCAAGCACATTAGGGGATAATTAAGTAAAAATAGGCCTTCCGACCAGTGTAGCTCATTAAGGGCTAATTAAGTTAATTAGTGCCAGGTGTGGATTGCAGCGCTTGTGTGCGTGGCTGTTGTTTGCTGTAATTGCATTTGCTCAGCAGCTTCCTCTGCCAGGCTGGAGTGCGGCCAGCAGGGAAGGTGTTGGGTGCCCACGAGCTAACGAGCACCTACCAGCAGCACCCAAAGGTGGCCAATTAACCCTCCCCTCCCCTCCCCGCAGCCCCCAGCGTAGGTCTCCCACCCCAAAACCAAGGCACGGCTGGGGGGCAGCCCTGTTGGTGCGGTTCCACCTGCAGGGAGGGATGAGGACACTTTTCACGTCACCAGAAGCAGTGGACAGCAGGTCACCGGGATCTGTGGAGGCATTTGAAGGGAGATATGGGCAGGGAAGAAGCAGTGGAGACAGCTGAGCTCGTGTTGGTGCCAGCAAAAGAAAGAGGGAAGGCAGGAGGAGGGGGAAGGAGGGAGAGAAGAAAGCAGGAGCCGGCGAGAAGAGGCTCTGATCACTGCTCCCAGCACCAGGGAGCAATTAGAGCTGCTCCGCCTGTGCCCGCAGAGATGCTGCAGGGATGAAGATGTGACAAAGAGCAGGCAATTTTTTCGCGGAGGTCATCCTTGCTAATGAACGGAGAGCATCCCTTGCCACACGCTCCCGCTCCTTCCAGTGTCTGGGCGCTTTCTGTCCTCCCCCAGGCGCAGCAGCCCCCACTCAGCCCTGAGCCTGCAGAGAGGCAGGACTCAGAAATAACCCCGTGAAATATGGCCCGGGAGGGGATGCTCGGGCATCTGCTTTTGGCAGTGTGCCCCGGCCCCACCGTGAATTGGTGCCAGCGAGGCAGGAGCTGTGCAGAGCCCATCCCTAACCCAATGCTGAGCATCACAGCGTCCCCCCAGGGACTGTCTGTGTGTTCAGGCCGGTGCAAAGTCCCCGCTGCCTCCACTGCCCTGCCAAGCAGGGAGGGGAAAAGCGGGCTGGAGGGGAGGCAGGTCAGGAGCATCCCCGCAGCTACCTCGCTGTGCAGAGATAATTGCCTGCGGGTGACAGCTGAGGTCAGGCAGCAGTGGTCTGTCCCCATTTCCAGCCTCCCCACAGCCCTCCCCAGCACTGGGGTGGAAACAGGGCAGGAGCAGCCCCGAGGAGCCCTGCACAGGGAGGATGCGGAGCGGGGCGCACCCAAGGTGGTGGGGCCTAGGGTGGGTGCACCCCTGGGCTCAGCAGCAGGGCAGGTGCCTGGGCAGGGGCTCCCTGGGTGAAAAGCCTGGTCTGGCTAGTGCAGAGGTGCCAGAGCAGGTGCTGGCATGGGAAACAGGGCATTTTGCAAAGCTCCATGCACCTCCAAATCCTTCCCTTGTTTGACCCCAGCATACCCATTTTATAGGAGGGTTGGGAAAAGATAAAGGGAAAGCAGACAGCGTGCTGACTGAACAGGGCGTCTTTGCTCTAAAGTGCAAGCTAAAGCTACTGAGCATCAACAGGGCCAACAAAACCCTCTTCATTACTGGGGTTGAGCTATAATTTCCCTGATATCCCCAAATGTGCATTCCCTCTAGGCACACGGGGCCCGGGCATCCATGCTCTGCACCCCCCTGCCTTCAGCCCACCTGCAGCCTCATCAAATGACCCGACACAGTGGTTTGTACCCCTGGTGATGGATGCAGAGCGTTGGAGGAGGAGGTGGGTAAAAAGCTGCAACCCCTGGAGCTTCTGGAGAGCCCCCAGAAGCAGGGGTAGGGCAGGCGAGGGAGCCAGCAGCTTGCGCTGAGCATCTTCGACCGTGGAGCCTGGTGCAGATGCTGGCAGGATTGTTGCAGCTGCTATCTGGGCTCCCTGTCTCGTCCCTCTCCCCTTCTCCTTTTGCATAATGGATAGGCTGTGAGTAATGGGAAATGGCAGGCCAGCCGCGTTCACTGGCAGCCCCTTAATGAAGAATATGGAAATCTCATCAGTCCAATCAGGCCAGCAAATGAAACCGCTTTCCCCCGCCGATGTGAGCAGAAGGCTAACGACCCGCGCTTGCCGGCTCCATCCCTCTCCCAGGAAGCCCCCCCTCTGCCTTCCCCTTCCCCTGGTGACAAGCGAGCTGTGAACTTAATCTTTATTGCAAGCAGAGCCCCATCTCTTTTCCTTGCTGCCCTTTTGCAGAGCTTGTGCCACTTCCCGAGCCTTCGTCCTGCTCTTTCGCTTTCCTCCCATGGTGAGCTTTTGCCGAGCTCCATGGGCTGTCTTCCTCTGCAGGCACACCTGCAATGAGCTGCAGCAGAGGGAAGACACCGTTTGCTCCCTCGTCCATCACTGGCACCATTTGCTGGAGACATGGCTTTTGTCTCCTCCTCACCATAAGGGCTTCTGCGCTCTCCTGGTGCTGAGCAACCTGGAAATGCCTCCAGATCCCATCCTGTGGCTTTTGCAGTCGCTCTGGGCTTCCAGGCTGCTGTCTCCGTGCAGGCAGTTGCATACACAGAACTGTGAAATGCTGTCCTTCAACATGCCCACCGTGCAGGTCTGCAAAAGGCTCTCCTTCAATGTGCCCATCGTGGTGCTTCTCTATCTTGGGTGGAAGTTTACCTGGGGATACCTGGCCCTATTAGTAGTGGGATGTGAGCCATAGCCGGTACCGGGATCTCAGTTCATCCCAGGATGTGCAGAAGGATGTGGCTTTGGATAAGGACCTGAGACATCCAGGCTCAGCTCTGCCTCAAACTCCTTGTGCAGACCATTGCCCCAAAATTCACACCAAGACTTCACAGCTGGACTTTCTGGGTCCAAAACAGGGGTGTCTACAATGCACCTTGCACAAGCAGGTCCTCACCTCCATGGCAGTATCTTCACTCTGGTGCAGTGCTTCGGGTAGGGGAGTGCCCACAGGCCAGCAGCTCTGTGCCTGCTCCATGGGCAAAGGCAGGAGCTGGCAGAAGAACAGCCTCGTGCTGGTTTAGGGGAATGTTTAATTGCTGGCTTTCACAGCCAGTGCAGAGCTCCTAAACTGATGATGTGCTTCAGCTGTGAACTTGCCCAGAAGCACTGAGGTGGGTAAGTGTTTTAATAAAATTCACCCAGGGCATTTATCTCCACATAAATATATACATAGCGTACGCTCTTTGTACAGCAGAGGATGCTAGCTCGAGGCTGGAGGAAACCATTTGTTTCCGTGAGTTATAAGATCGTATCTGCAAACACCCCTAACAAGCAAAGATCAGCGCGGCGGCGGAGCTGGAGCCGGTCCCCAGCACAAGCTGTTTGCATACAGCAGTAATGATGCAAACGGGCTGCTGTTCAACATGCTGATCAACATAAAACCGTCGAAATTAAAGGCTGAGGAGACACAGGAGCACGGCCATAAACATTTATTGCAGCTCTCTGTGTATCATCAGCTGCTGATTTTGAGGCAATGGAAGAGTGCAGCTGAAATAATGGGGTTTATCAGAGGCTGTGATGAACTGTTCTTGATGGATGGTCGTAGAAGTGAAGCGACGTGTCATCTCCAGCACAAGGCTGTTCTTAAAATAAAGTGAGAAGGGAGGATTTGTTGCCTTTATTAACACTAATCTCTTATGATTTTGGAGTCCACGCAAGCAGTCAGGACCAGGCTGCTGCTGAATGAGAAAGCCAGCTTGAAGATGATGTGCTGGAATATCCCAGGGGAATGGAAATAAAAGTTGTGGTCTCTAAATTCCAAGTGTGTCATCTGCTGGAAAGTTGACACCACTTCTGCTTCGTCTCGATGCGTTTTTCATTTGTTTGATCTCCCATACATTTTTATCTCCGTTCTTCAGACAGAAAAGCAAATCTAGGAATTTATTCAGCTACTTTCTTTTTTCTTCCTTACTGCAGGGAGACAACCCAAGTTGATTAACAGCGATAGCGAAAATCTGCCTATGGACCTGATGCCCTTACGTATCGTGTCACCCACTGCAACGAGGATGCACACCTGGGGGGGGGCAAAGCTGCTGTGCCCCCCGCAAGCAGCATTTCTGCCCAACAGGCTGAGGCAGAGACACCTGCACTTGGAGTGCAGAGCTGCTGTTACCAAGTCATCTCCTGTCAGCTTGCAGCACCTTGTAACACTGGTAGAAAACTATTTAATAGATATTTTTCTTACATTGATCTGAAAATCAAGGATGTGGGTTGTTTTATAAAAGGGAACTTCTGATAAAATCTCTCTCTCTGCTAGAAGTGATCCCAAGGAAATGTTTTTGTGCCAAAGTCTCTGACTTACAGATCATCCAGGGGTTTTGTGTACCTTAGATTTGAAACCAGACACAACCCAATGGACTTCATCAGAGCTGCAGACGGCTTAGCTCTGGCTGCATTTAACATCTTCGGTGAGCCACGTGAAGAACTGTCTTGTACCCTGCACCTGCTCCTGCTTTGGAGACTCCTGGGCATGGTGGATGCAGAAGGGCTGCTGATGGAGCAGCTGGCCATAGCTTGTCCTCCAGAGGGGGGTCAGCATCCCACCTAATGCCTTATCAGAACTCTGTGGCACAGAAAAACTTGAGCCAAAGCAAGAAGCAATGCAATGACATCCCTGTCCCAGCTTCACGTGTCAATCTGAGACATCCCTGACACCCCATGATTTAGCACAATATTGATACCACACTGCTGGTTTTCTTACTACTCCCTCGACACCAGCCTCTCTGATAAAAGCAGCCTGCCCATGTGCCTCTACTGTATCTCATTTTTCTCATTCAAATGGGTTGCAGAAGGGACTTGCTTTTGTTTCCACCAACACAAAGCTGAAAAAAAACCACAAGGCTACATCAGTATGGGATGTGGGCGGTTGGAGAAAAATGGGTTTCCTGCTGCTTTGTATGTCCTACAGCCTATTAACTGGTACTCTGTTTCAACTGCTTCTTGTTTTGCCTGACAGGTTAAGCCCGTGTTGGCTTGATGAGACATCAGTGGAAGAGCTTTTGTTCCAGCCTGCCACGATTTCCACTCCCAAA